AACCCAGAACACTATTTAGGGGTATTGCTGCTCGCGTCATGATATCCATCTTCCCAGGTATCTAAATGGCAGCACAGTTCTTCCGATATCCCAAGATACATATTCTCCAGGTGCAATGATCCGCAACTCTAGTTAAGTACAGATAAGTTCGCATTCAGGCTTGTTCTTACGGCCGTCAGAAATACTAATTAAACGCTGCCAGGTTGCCTTCAAGGTAAAGAAATTCTAGACAGTAACGAGCTCTATTCATTCTTAGCAGGGAAAATAAGCAGACATAGCAAATATTAAACAAAATACCATCTCTCAAGTATCCAGGAAGGTATGTATTCAGCACTTTCATGCTCTCCTGGTATAAAGATCCTTATGCAGCCACACTTTGATTAAAAAAAAACAAAAAACACACACACAGCCCTAAAGAGACAGGGTCACAAGTGTTTCAAAAACCATCTTGGCAAAGACGTATGTAGAAGGTCATGGTTGGTCTTAATTGTTACCTGCTCTTCCTGTTGTTTTTAAACAAGAGTTCTCTGCCCTGTTGCATCCACCTGTACTTTAAGAAAGCGGTAAGCTGAGCTTTCCTCGTCCCTTTGGAAGTTGCAGGAAGCAGAGTGGGCCTACAAGCCTCCCAGTTACTTTCTTTGTTCAGGATCAGATGTTTTAAGCTATGTGGATAGAGCTAAGACTACACTCTGCAACAACGGAAAGCCCTCGTCACGGATGGATTAGGCTAGAGGGGGAACTGTTGCTCCTTTAGACTCATGCATTTGACTGTCCAGCAAACCCGTTCGCCTCAGGCTCTAGATCATACTACTTCATTCCTGAGCTTCCACGTACCAAAAACAGGCAGTTTTGCCCTCTTGCAAGTCAAATTGGCCAACCAAGTTTGTAGGCTTCCTCAGCTGTGGCAGGGTTTCTGAAATGCACTCTTACCCCAAAAGGCTCTCACAAGCAACCAGAGGCAGAACACTGCTTCCTGCTCTCCTAAGGTGTTCCAGGAGGCACCAATTCACATGTGGTACTTTGGTAGAAACAACCACATGGTAGAAATAAGGCCACAAATGCCTCAGTCTTGGCAGGACAGCCCTTTTCCGCGTACCCTTGGAGCAGCAGCTCTCTAAAGGACTTTGTCAGCTTATCCCAGGATGGACAAAGGCAGCAGAGACAGAGGGTTCCCACCAGTGAGCAAGGGCTGCCCTGCCTCTGCCCCCAGCACCTCAGACACCTCCATCACGTTCTCTGGGGTTCATCACCTCCATCAGCAAAAGGGCATAAAAATCCTTCCGCTGGAAAGGACTTTGAGACCTGTGGTATAAAATTAGAGGTTATAAATGTTTCCCCTTCAACAGGGTGTGGGCCTGAAAAGCCATTTTGAGAAGGTCTTTCAAAGGACTCAATGAATATTAGACATTTAAAACAATTTTTTTTGATGGAAGTAGCTAACAGCACCTGAGCTTAATTGTTGTCTTTCATACCCAGCAACTATTTATAACACACAAGACTAATCAGGAGGTTGTTTTGGTCTCAAGATATCCAAACAATCATGATCTAAAGCATTATTTCTTGGTCTTTAATTTTAGAGAAGAGAGATATTAAATATATTGTTTGCCACGGCAGGAATTCAAATTCAGCTTGCTACAATACCTTTAAAAAAAAAAACATTTATTTCAAGCTTGTAAATGATTTAAAAGAAAGAGAGAAAACTTAATTAATAATGTTGTTTCCAGCCAGATGGCCAGCTATTAGTTTTCAGTCGTCTCTTTGGGAACAATGCACTGTAAGTCTTCAGATGCAAAGGAGTTTTAAAGCAAATAGATGTTCATGATTGCTTGGTACTCTCAGTGGCTGCCAAAATGTGCAGCAAGAGTCAGAGCTATAGGGTAGAAACATTAATTATTTCCAGTCCATGCTGTTGCGGGTCACAGCTGTAAAAGTCCACTATCAACAGTACACTCACTTTTATTTAATATTTTGTAATTGGGTGGCATTATACTCACATACAGTTATATAATATTACCTTAAATGAAAACATGAGGCTGCATGTATAGTGTTTCTCCTGGACTTGTGCTAACAGACTTTAAACTTAAGCTCAGTAGCAGACCACTGTGGTATGATGTGTATCAACCAGTCAAAATATTCCATGTGTACAGGAGGTACCAGCACAGAGATGAATAGACAAATATTATGCAAAGCCAGTTAAGGTTTACCACTAAACATCTATGGAATTCTAATATTCTCACTGACGTAGCACCTACATATTTTCAAAGAGAGTTTCCAGAAGAAAATTGTAACAGCTTCCTTGGTATGAAAGGGACTATGAACAGCAACAGAAAACTCTTTAAAGCAGCAAGTTATTGGATTTTTCAACTGAGTCCTTCTCTCAAGATTGCAAGAGCTTTTTAATACTGTCATTAAATTCTCTGACATTTTTGTGAGGTAAGTACTATATTTTCTAGATAGTCAGAGCAAGGAACAGACAGGTTAAATATTTAGCTCAATGTTACACTATGGTATGAAACAAAACCTGATGTTTTCAGTCTTCCCTAACCACAGCGTACTTTCACTAAGCAATAATCCACAATATAAACCTATCTTAACTCAATTATTATCAGAAAAAGCAAAGATGTGATTGCAACCCTATGCACGAACTTGCAGCCTATAGTTCTACCAACTAAACAAAACTAGATTTGGGAAAAAGCTTCAGTGATCAGCTCTCTACCTACACACAAGTTATTTATGGCATCTAATTTAGAGCAAAGCTCAAAACAGTTTGCTGACTGCCAGCAGACTTACTGGAGACAAAGATCAGCTATGAAGTAATGTTACCTTTGCTAATCAGACTGTGATTGTTTACTTTTTTTTTTTTAATAAATTTACATCTAGCCATTTTGCAAAGCTTCTTTTTAACGCAATGGTTTCAAAATAGCTTGTTTCCACTTTCCACTGTTTTAACAGTTTTCTTCTGCAAAGACTCCATTGGCCATAAAAAAGCCCCACAATTCTGAAAAGAAAAAGAAACCGTTAAACAAAAAGGGGAGCCTGAAGGCAGATTCAACTCACAGCGAGGCTTACGTTCAGTAAGCCAGGCAAGTGGTTCTTACCCAGTTCAGGCCCAAGAAGTGGATACTGAGAAAGACTAGCCAAACGTATGCAAGTTCCACCATTCCAAGGCCATGAAACTCTTACAAGGGAATTAATCTGGGGTCTCCAGAATTCACAGGGGTTTAGCTTTCACGTTCCAGGCCAATGTCAACAACTGTTGTAGGCCTTTCTTCCAAAAAGCTAATGACCATGGGGGAAGAAAGAAAGGATAGATGTTATTAGCTGACCTTGTGCTCTTCTGAATTCAAGGCCTGTAATTGTGGGTGGGCTTCATTCAGGTCACGGAAGAGGAAACTCTTACTCCTTCCTGTATTTGTATGGCTGTGTAGCAGGGGAGGTGGGAAGGGTGCTTAGGGAAAAACATATTTATAAGTGCTTTCTATTAGTATGGAAGCTGGTTAAAAATGGCAAAAGGGGGGGAGGAAAACAAACAAACAAAAATATCCCACCCTACTGTGATAAGAGCCAAACACCACCACCTGCACAAGATCAGGAGCTACTGCCAATGCCAAAGCCACTGTCAGTGGTATCTAAGCTACAAAATGTGGGCACCAATGTGGCTTGGCAGAGGTCCTCCGTCAGAAAACCTTCAATGAAACGAGAGAGAATTCCTCTGAAAGTGAAATGCTTTGCGGAGAAGTATTATTTTCAACAAACTTCCAGCTAAATCCTGCCTGGCTTCCTGCCAGATTTCCAGCCCAGCGCTGAAGAGGCCAGGCTTTGTGGGAAGGTACCGCACTGTAGCCATGCAGGCTGCCCTGCGTGGAGCCCTTGGGTCTCACAGGGTCTGCTGGGCAGGCTTCAGAACCTGCAAAAAAAGCTCCCAAAGCCCTGGATTTAGAAGAGAAAACTTGATAATATTCAACCTACAAACACCTCTATCCTCCATGTTCAGTTCACTGCTTAGTTGTGCTGGCCTGAACCTCCTTTCACTTGCATGTAAGTCAGAAGTAAATTTACCGAAATCCATGTAACGTAAAACGTAAAAATGAGTGGAAAAGACTCAGACTCCAGCTGCTTATCAGCTTTGTTAGGCAGAAATTACTTTTAAACACTATATAATTTTTCAGACACTTTTAGACATGTGTGCCGCACATTGTTGTTCCCCTTGAGTCAGATGCATAGTCAATTTGTTCAACAAATAAAAAGATGAAAAGGACCTTTCTGTACAGTTCCCCATGTGTAGAAACCACAGACTTTGTATCTCTATGAAAAAAAAAAATCACATCTGGTCCTTCTGAGTACAAAAAAAATTAAAGGTGCTTGTAGCTAGGTCTTTGTCTTCCCACACAGAAACACTTAAAATCCAGTTACAGAGGAAAAGGAAATTTTGGAAGAAGTACTCTCTAGCTGTGAAGTAGATAAAGCAATAACAACAGTTGCACATTCAACACAAAAACAAACAAGCAATCTCATGTTCCACAGATGTCTATGCTATGCCTAATTTTTTGTGAACATTAACTGTTTTACATCTCTTAAACAAATCAGAGTAAGCGAATTTCTTCTTTCATGCAAAAGCAACTAGAATAGGAAAGAAAGTTTTTTTTCCTCTTTTATTTTGAAAGCATAGAGTCACTATCAGCATACATCATTCAATTATTGCTGGCTGCAGCTTCTCCACAAAGGAAGACATTTCTGTTTTGATTTACCTTTTTAGAAAGATTGTATTATGGTTAACGAAAGTCACCAATTCAAAGATAATCTCCAATTTTTCCTATGACGCAATTTGTAAGCAAAAGCTTAACAAAGTTTTCAGATTAGATAACCGCAAATAAAGAAGTAAACTAAGGACATTCGACCTATATCTCAGCCCTGCAACTGTCCTTCCTAATGACCTTGGGCAGATGAACTCCCCTAGCACCTTGCTCAAGTAGTCTCCTCTGCAGGACTCAAGACCTCACCTTTTGTAAGCTGATGCACATCCACCTGGATATCCAACCGCAGGTGCCCCGCTCCTGAGTCAGGCAAAAAGTCCCGTTGCGATGGAGCATGCAAGGGTCCCAGGACATGACATGCATATGCAGCCTACAATCACATCACACAGCTACATGAAACATGCAACTTGTTGCACAGCACTTGGTCCACTGCACCAAGTGGACTGCAAAGGTACTTTTAGTGACAAATGAAAGTTACCAAGACCACCTATTCCCCTTTCCTGGACTTACACAAGTTACACATTGCTAACAGGTAGGTTTTGCTGGATTTTTAAGGAGCACATTCTTTCATGAGGACCACCAATGAGATTTATAACTGTATTCTCTCTCCTACACCACCCCCTAATAATTTCAAAATGAGGCAGCAGATTCCTCATGGAACAGTATGATTCTAAATAAAGAAGGTTAAAGAACCAAGCTCACAAGGAACAACTGCCATTTCCTCCCTGTGCTTCCTGGTGTCCTTTCCCCGGCACTGCTCCTACTCACTGACGTCTGTTGCTTTGAAAATTTGTTCTTGATCTAAATAAGGCCAGTATCAGCAACCATTGCTCACGCTGAGTAATGCCCGTTCATGCAGAGACTCTCCATCAGAGAGGAAGGATGGATGGTTCAATACTTAGGGCACTTGCTCAAGGCACACAATCCCACAGATTTCCTGTCCTACTCATTTCAAGCTGCCTAAAGTCTATCTGCACCACACAGAGGCTTGTAAGACAGAGAAATTCAACTTAGCTCTAATGGAGCAAGTTTGGATACCAGAAATAACTAAACTCTGCTTCCTAGTTGACAAAGGAAATATCCTATCCTGGAGCTCACACAACTTCTGCATGTTCCTCTACAAGGCAGGATGTGAATATTTCCCACCTGTCTGGGCTCATCTGAAGATACAGGTTACTTTTTTTGTTGTCTGTTTTTAAGGGCTATCTAATACCACGCATAAGCGGTTTATTCATGCTCACAATTCCTGGAGGATCAAGCTACAAGACAGAGACTCAGTTTTTTTCTTCTCTTTCTACAGAGCCACAGTATGAGTAGCACCAAACTTTCCTGTTTGCCTAAGGGCAAGTCCCACCGTTCTGACAGTGATGGTAAAGAGATGTGCCAGTAAATGAGGACCAGGTCTAAAAGACTTCAAAACATCTTTAAAAGCAGTATTAACTGCAACAATTGACACATTATTGTCTCCTCAGTCACAGAGAAAGTTGTGCTACCAGGAGCAAGTACAAGAGCCCAATTATTAACAACTTCCTTGTCTTTACGTTTGGACTCGAGTCACATGTGACAAAATGTAATCAGCAAACATTTGCTAAGCTTGGTGGAGTCAGCCTACTAGAACTGGAGCGTCTGGACAAGAACCTCTGTCCTGGCTTTATTCCCCTCACTCCTGTCTGCTCTCTTCACTGCCAATCCACACAATCAGCTTTGGACTGGAAAAAGCTTTTTGCACAGCACATCAAGGCAGACAAGGACAAAAGTTAATTAGGACCATTCATAAGTCTTGCTGAAAGAGTGCTGCATCCTATCCCTGAAAATTTAATTGCACTCAATAGAAGAAACCTAAAAAGAAAAAAATCCAGAAAAAGATAATTTGGGGAAAAAAATCTGATTTCAATTTAATTCAAGCACTGTTTGGCCCTATTTATTTCATAAAGTACTTCATGCAGGATAATGGCATTATTGTGCATCTTACAGCATTAGAAGCTCCTCATAAATTAACAAGTGAAAATTAATGGCTGTTCAGTCCATTAAATCTTGTTAATTTTATTTCTGTTGCAATAATATAGTGATCACAAGTTTACATTATTAAACCAATATTTATTAGAAGAGTTCATTTTAATTGGATCCCTGATGTGATAATCCTATACAGTATGCATTTCTTGATTTCATCAACTTTTTGCATTTATTTCTCATTATATTTAAATGACTGCAATGTTCAGGGTCTTTTCCTAATACTATAAAAGTTAAGCATCCATTTTAAGCGCTTATTTCACAAAGATTCAACACTTACTACACAATATAATGGGACTCTCATGGGTCCTTTCAGAAGCTATTTTAAATATTTCAGCCTCTTGAAAAAGGGGGGAAGGAGAAAAAGCAGAGATATGAATATTTGAAAATATCTAAAAAAAGACAAAAAATATTTTTTCCTTAGCCTATCCATGTCCTATATGAACATAACCCTGCTGTCTTTCAAGTCAAGAGGCGTTTAACCACTGTTTTTAATGTGAAATATGGTCTGCTCCATACTTCTCAGAGAAGAGAAAAACAAGCAAACAAACGCACAGCCTCCCCTCCCCCCAATAATATAAGTTTTTGACAAGTATTGCCTGCCGAGTACTGCCTGCAAATTTACAATTTGTAAAGACGTCCTACCACGGGCTGGGTCAGGCGTGCTACTACTTTGAGCCAAGGGGGCTGTTACACTCGGCAGCTCCTGACAACACTTTCTGTCCTGAACGCCCTTTTTCCCCAGTTCCTTCATCCCTGCCAAGGTAACTGGATGCGTTGTCACTCTCTAAATTGTTGCATCAACATTATCTCGGTTAATTTAATGGCAGAGTTTTGTTTTACAAAACTGCATCACGTGGGCTATAAATCAACTACACACGCTATTGCCCAGGCAGATATAAGGGGCAGTGACCCTGATGCAAGGGAGGGCAGGAGAGGTCGGAGGGGCTGTAGGGAGCAGTAATCTCTGAGCAGGATGCAGCACTGCCCCAAGACAGGATTGGGCTCTTCAGGAGGAGACAGGGAGGAAGGAAAGAAAGATACTGATGGACAAGTAGGACTGCAGGCAGAAAATACTTGTGACGAGAGCCTTACGTCCATTTAATTAGCATACTTTCATCTTTAGACCTGATCTGCATAGGTCATATTAATATTCATATTAATGCCACAAAAGTTAGTTATGTACAGATTTGTAAAGCTTTGTCTACCCTGCTAAACCAGCTCACATGAGTACAGCTAGCAGCGCAGTCGCAGCAGCACAAAGGTTAAGACAGGGCTATAAAACCCTGCCCATAAAGCCAGGTCAGTACATAGGTTAGCACGCACAGCTTTGCGGCAGTAACATTACAGCAACAGCGAGCTATAATGGCAGCTAGACTATGTCTGCATGCACGGACTGTACTGTAATCATCTTCTATGTACCACTCTTATGCCAATCTAATCTTAAAGGCAGACACACTTAAGCAAGTCTAAGCAATATCAAGGCTTCTCACCTACAGGGACAAGCTAAACTGAAAACAAGACAGTTTAAAACTGGTGTAAACCAACACAAATTTGTGTGCGGACACACAAAACTATGACTGGCCCTTTGATTTTGTTTCTGAAACCAAAAGGTTACCAAGCTCGAAAGAAAAACATACTTTACCATCTCGCAGACTGCCTCTGCTACTTACGATATTTGTAGTTTTCATATTTTCTGGGTATTAAGACGATCCTAAGAACATGGTCAATTCCTGCAAAGATTGCATGGTCAATGATCAACACAACAGAAGCTATGCTCATACCTAAGATCTTCCTAAAATCACTTATGTATTATTCTGGCTTTCTCCTCCAAGGTATAAGCCATGTAACGAACACCTTGTGCAGCTTCTTTCAAAAAGCAAACGTATCATGTTTCCATTTCAGTTGGTACATTTTATTCTTATCAGATGAGTCCCGCAAGAAATAACACCCACCACTCTTCAAAACTATTTTCTTAATTAAAGAAAAAAAAAACCCTCCACTTAGAAGTATCTCGGCTCTCCTAAAACCACTGGTGATAAAAAAAGAAATACGGTAATAGGTTCAAACGAAAAATATGCTTATGAAAATATACTACAACATGTCATGAGATTTACATCTCAATATGTGTAGTACCACTAAGGCTCTTGAAACAAAGCACTGGCTATCTTCTCCCATATCAGCAAGACTACATATAGTGCACAGCTTCCAGAAATTAATAAATGCTCACCACATGTTCCTCACTTCTAAAGTTCAGACTGCTATATATGTTGAGTTAAATATTAACCGATCAGCCTAAAACATTTTATTTCTAGGGCAAAACATTGACACTTTATCAGGTCCACAGTATAGCCTCACTCCAGATCAGTGAGAGCGTTAAGAACTTTCTCCCAAAGATGAAGTCCACAGGGACGCATTCACGTTCTGCAGGTAGGTAGCAACGTTAGCTATAGACTTTGCTGCCATGAGATGCCACACTCGTCATACTCTATGACCTCAGAAGCAAATACAGCCACCAACAATTAAAAAAACATCTGATAGCAACTGGTAGCAGTTGGAGATCTAGGCTTGCTCACAGAGCAAAGCAGAGAGGCCCTAAACTTGAACATCTGGCTGCACTGGGGTGGGTGGTAATGGCATGAGGTCCCTGAGCTTGTTTGTAAAGTGATAAAAACGCCCATCCTGAAACCTGGGCTTTCAAGATCAGTGCAGCTACGATAAAGGATATGTTTTAATGGATGGACAAAAAGAATGTGTGTTTTCAACTGTATCATCCAGTGTAGTACCAAAAAAAAAAAAAAGTATTACTGTCATGAGGCATGGGTTACTGAACCGACTAGGTCAGCTCACAACATCAAAGCCTACCAGCTTAGCGCGTGTAGGTTTAAAGGCAGAGATGTGCTTGTGCTTATTAACGCCCAAATCTCCTTTCTGTGCACAGGTAAAAGGTACATACAGCCTTCTCAGACCTACTAAATGACTCCTTATCTGCAGATTTCTGTGTAGCAGAAGTACTGGTCCAGAAGAACAGACTCCACTTCACCTCCCTCAATTACAAGTTAGAGTTCACTTTGAGATTCCTTTCCACATTGTAGAAAGCTCCCTTTTGGAGATGGATGGACTTTGACAGCAGGGCCCAAGAGGAAAAAGGAAGGTCCTTTAAAAGAGCCCTTCTCTCAGGCCCAGGCAGCAATAGGGTGGCCCGAGACTGGTGGGTTTTCCAGGTGGAAACGACTCCCCGCTCCACCAGAATCAACAAGAAAGAAAATTCTTGCCAACACTAGGGCATCATGCTGGAATTTTTCAAGGTCTCTCCAGCCTCGTGCTGGCTGCCATAGGTTCTTCAAACAGAAAACCTGGGACCTGAACGTCTGTTGGTCACATCATCTTACAAACTGAGCACTCGGAAAGTAACACACTTAACCCTACTTGGTCACTAGAGGAA